TAAATCTATTTGAGTTTTGTAAGTTGTACACTGCACTGAGGACAAACCACCTCCTTTGTGTAGACCAGCTCCATTGCTTTTGTCTCAATTTCTCTGTAGTCAAGAGTTTCAGAGTACAGCCTTTTCTTGTAGCTCTTGATTTTGGCTTCAAAGCCAAGAACTCTTGGGAAGTCTAGTTAGCTGTTAGTTAGTCCATGCCCTAACTGGACAAATGAAGGTACAGGGGCTAGTGTGGGGAAGTGACCCAGTGTCTTCTAAATAGTCTTTCATTGAGGTGGGAAGGACAAGAGACTTGAGAGAAAACAGAGGACTTGCACCTGATCGTTGTCTTTGTAGGACACTGAATTAGGTTTCTACCTACAAGAGATGTGATTTGCTCTAGGTCAGAGGATGGACCCACGGCTTGAATGGGTCAGCATCCTCTTCTATGCTCTGGAACTCTAAATGGAGAAGGCAGATGATGTTAATCCCACGAGCAAAGACTTGGGGTCCTTGCCTCAGTGGGAATTCAATCTGCTTTCTTTTGCATATGTCAAAGCTAAGAATCTATGTACCACACTGAAGCCAGGGGGTACCAACAGGTACTGTGCCGGCCTGGATTCCATAGAGGATATAGAGTGATACACATCAATTCAGGAAGCAGCTGGGAGAAAACAGGAATTCTACTTCCTAGAAATGGCTTTATGGTGGAGTTATGCTCCTCCATGTGCTGCCCCTACCCTCCCAACCCCCTGCACACACAAAACCCTGCTTTTCTGGACTCTTACTCCCCTTGTTAATAAATGGAAGATATAATGCTCATGCAAAGTTTTGTTCTAAAATAGTTTTGTTTTTATTTTATGCATATGAGTGTTTTGCCTGTATGTATGTCCATGCACCTCTTGTATGCCTGGTGTCCATGGAGACCAGAAGAGGGCAACAGATCTCCTGGAACGGGAGTTACAGACTGTTGTGAGCCATCATGTAGGTGCTGGGAATAAAACCTGGGTTGTCTACAAAATTAGTCAGGGCTTTTAATCACTGAGCCAGCCCCACAAAAGTTATTTATTTTGAGAACAAAAAAAAGATCAGTTTTAGGTACTTAATATATTTTAACTGTCACTTAATCAGAGCTTAGCCAAACATCAGCAATCATTGTTGCTTGCTGAACACAGATGTGCTCGTGTTCGTAAGCTCTCTGATTGGAGTATAAATAAGTAAATAGAATATTCCAAGTGCTTAGGGATTCAGGAGTTTTAAACTATGTGGAAGAGTCAACTGCACGAGAGTGAGACAGGGAGATATCCAGGCATTCCCTGGGAAGCCCAAAGGGAAAACTAAAGCCTCATCTAGCTGACATGCTTTAACTGTAGCCTTGAAGTCAAGGGCATGGCAGATGGACTCTCTATGTTGTTTCTAGTCCTTGCACGGTGTCTTGACTTTGTGAAGGGAACATTTTTTTTCTGGCCTAGAACATTAGAAAGATGCTTCTGGAATCAGCTGAGTCTGCCAAGGAACAAATTATTGAAGGGCCCTGAGGCCCTGACCACAAGGAAAACTAGAGCAGCCTGTGGGGGCCAGGCTTCCAGGTGTGCCAGCCTAACCACAGCCAGCACTGCAGCTCTTAGGGCTTGTGTAACTAGAGCAGCATGCTGGGAGACACTGCACAGCTGAGCACTCATTAGCAGCACCAGGGTCCCATATGGTGTGCGCAGTGCCTGGCACCACCTCTTCCACAGAAACAGAAAGCCTCAGCCTATACTCAAGATGCCAAGTCCTGAACAGCAGCCCAGGAAAGGGGAACCTCAGCAAAGCAGCCTCAGTCTGGGAAAAGACAAAATAAGAGGGTCCCTTTCTTTGCATATCTTAGCCAGTTTTCTATGTTCTAGCTAAACCATCCTGACAGTTTACATTCTCTCTGAGGGAATATAGATTCTTAGCCAAGACCTCCTGGATCCCCAATCCTGCTCTGTCACTTATGAGGTGGTGACCTTGGCTCTGTTTTCTTAACTAGTGAAATACTGCTCCATAAGGTTCTTCTAAAAATCAAACATAAAACGATATACCCTTTGGCTCAAGGTGGGGTGAGAGAAAGCTGACTCCGAATGCTTGCAGGAGTTTCTGCATGTAAGTAATGGCCTAAATCTAGACGGGAAAGTCATTTACAACCCGTCTATGACTTTATACGCAAAGGATGGAGGTAATTTTATACACCGCCTCAAATAATTCTGTAGAGAAAATGAAATTTCTTGGTATGGAATTTTCCACTTGTGGAGTGAGGTAGGCACTGTGAAAATTTTGAATTTTGGAGCATTTGAGATTTCAGATGTTAGGATAAAGGGCACGCCCACCATGCTGTGCATATGAAGCCACCAGCTGTCTCAAGCATAGTCCACAGAAGGTAAATAGTAACTTTCATCACATCTCCAGCTTCTTTTCTGGATCTGTCTTATTTGGCTTCCTCAGACTTACAGAGGAAGAGGTCAGCATCTCCATAAAGCCTGCCCCTCACTGAGCACATACCACGTGCCAGGCACTGCCCTCAAGACTAATGGGGAAAAAACTAACCCAGGAAAAAGTCCCATGTCAATCACTGACCAACTTTCACTGAGAAAAAGCAGATAGTAGTGCTGTTGCTCTGCTCAGTATTCCCACAACTCAAGCACCATGCTGTGTCTCTCCTTCAGACTGGCTCATTTGCCAAGGCCTGTCAGTATCTGATTCTCATGAGGGAGAAAAGAAAGGTTTAAGAAGGTATGATGATCTGAGGGAGCATGAGCTCTGGGATGGCATTGCCACCTCCTTGGTAGCTCCTCTCCACCTTCCTTTCCACTCCTCCCAAGTTCCCACCCACCACCATCTGTCTGCACCACCTCATCTCCTTGGCAGTACCAGAAATGTACCCCAAAGTTTAGTTCTCTGCCCAGTACCCTTCCTCTCTCATTTTTGCTTTAATCTTTCTCTTGGCAGGACACACACCTCATATTTCACTGGAGTCTGGGGGAGAGATCAAAAGTAATTGAAAGCTT